GTTCACACACACACACACACACACACACACACACACACACACACACACACACACACATCTACACACACACACACACACACACAAACACACAGACATACACTTTTTTTTTTCTTCTTTTTTAAAACTGTGCGCGCTCCCTGGTGGCTTCTGACACGCGCGCGCCGGCACAGGGTGCGCGTTCAGTTTTTTCCTATTCTATGCCACGTGGCGCGTTTGAACATGCCCATGTGTGTTCAGCACGATCAAGCGGCCACATAGTTTCATGTAGTTGGTGCTGTGGAACCTGGGGCCGTGTCCCGTTTGACTGGATTTGGTTCGGGACCTTGTTTGTTCAAGGGCGCTACTAGTACCAGGTCACAGACAATGTAATAGTGTTCGGTTCCTCGACGTACGGACTCAGGTACCAGTGCTTTGCAGTACTTTCTAGAGTTTGGGCGGTAGGTTGGTAGCTGTGTGGAAGACTATAAGAGGCTGGCAGTTGTTGGTCTGACTCCCTTCCGGTTCGCACCGGAGCGAGTCATTAGCATGGCTCGTCAAGATTTGGGGATCATACGGGGATTCTTGGGTGCAGTGGACTGAGGGCGGTGCCTGTGTTTATGCTGCCGAGCAGTGCTTTGTTTACCTTTCGAAGCTCGACTATGACAGCCTTTTCTATGTTGCTGACTACTTTGCAAGGAAAATGAGCAATAGCGAAATACAGAATTCCAGATTGCAAAATCACAATGAAAGCCAGATAGTTGAAAGTTGTTTAGAAAGCAGAAATGCACTGATGTCACACCGAAGGAGAACCAAAGCAGCGAACTCAATTGTCAATGAAAGCATACTCTCGCCACCACCAACAATGCAACCGAAGCTCTTCCTCCTATTGGCGCTCGGCGCCCAGACTACTATCCCACAGTTATACTACAGGCCTACGAAATGACGAAGCAACCCGTTGATGTCAGCAGCAGCAATCAAAGTACATGAAGATCTCGACCATGTAGACCCCTGCCAAGACCACGTATGTGCCCTCACATCACCTCCGTTCTCGCCCTCTCATGCTCACCCTCGTCTTCACCACCCATGTGCCTTCACATTCGATGACCACCACTATACCCCACTGGCTACATCCAAGCCAAGCAGGCTATGGAGGGCTTGGCTACGGCGCTGCCTTCGTGCAGCGCCCTTCTCTCAGCGACCGTGCTTGCTCCCAAGCACTAGTGCAAGTAAGCAGCCTCGCGCAAGAAAACCCTCCAGCAGCGCTGCCGCAAGCACTGCCAAGTGCCCCAATGCCTGATGCACGGCCAGACACTTCCCTATATCAAAGTGGCCTGGCCTGGGCCTGCGTGCGTCGGATTGGGTCAAAGTGTCTGCGCTCAGCCCCGTAGACAGTGGCCCGGGACCGAATTGGTTAGGCTCGCCCAACCACCCAGCGTAAACGTGAGGTGTTCCCCGCTTCCATAGAAGAGCCTAGAAGGCTCACAAATGTTTCTGAATATCACGAACAGGGCGGATGTAACCGACTGGTGCATGGCAACTGTCTGGCGACCAAAGCTTTGTAAAATTAACGATCTCAGGCTTCATTGAATTTCAGGGGCATGCCGAGGATGCATATCCTCGCACTCCCTCCTCCTTTATTTCAATAGTCCGCTGAGAAGTCTTCAACCCACAGGGTGTTTCCCTTTCAACCTTCTCTCATATCCTGAGATAACCTGTCGAGCAGTTTTCATAAGTGCTTCTCTCGTGAACCATCGGTGTTCTTTAGGATCAATGTGATGTCTGAACCGCACTCTGTACTGCATTTGCGGTTTCGGAGGGCGTCCCCTGCCTGGAGGCTTGGGCACAGGCATCAGCTTGTGCTCAACTATGTCGTCAATGTCCACATGTCCGTCCATGGTTGGGGGCGGCATCGATCTCCCTGAATGGAATCTGTTGGCCTCACCAAAAGGAGCCAGTTTGGAGGCATGGAAAATATGGTGTGTGCGTAAATGTCCAGGGATTCGAATGCCATACGTTGGCCCGTCTGGTGCATCTCGAACTATGTGTAAAACTTCCCAGGGCCCAAAGTACTGTGGCATGAGTTTCCTAGAAATACCCAGTTCCTGTCCCAGCTCAGATGACTTAACCCCCTACTTGAAATGCAGATGAGTGTCTGTGCCTATTCTGAGATGCTACCATAGTGTTTTGAGCTTTCCAAATCTGTCCTACAGCCTGCTGCAGCATCTGGTCATACTTGACAGCGAATTCTATGCTGCCAGGTGCTGCTGTGTGGTGGTTCTCAGGCAGCAGAAAGTCAAGACCAGATCTGGGCTTCCAACCAAGATGCAGCTGGCTGGGAGTCATGCCGGTAGTGTTGTGTACAGCATTATTGTACAGGCTGGCGACGAGAGGCAACTTCTCATCCCAGACATCCTGACTCGGCTTGATGTAATGCCGGAGCAGGTGTTGCACTACCCAGTTCATATGCTCTACTTGGCCATTTGACTCTAGGTGATTCCCTGATGTCATCTGCAGTTGGATTCCCATCTGTTGGGCTGTGCTTTGCCACAGTTCACTACTGAACCTGACATCCCTGTCAGTGACAATGGACTTTGGCAGACTGAAGTCACGCACCCAGTTATCCATAAACAGTTTAATCACCTGGTCCGTCTTAGTAGTCTCAGGCATGGCAATAAGTTTAGCGTACTTACTAAATCTGTCCACGATGACGAAGATGTGCCGTTTGCCGCTCTCGCTGGTTACAAGAGCGTCCATGAAGTCCATGGAGACGCTCTGACCAGGGCCAACAGGAATAGGCAAGGGCTTGATAAGCCCAAGCGGTGCCTGCGCTCTTGGTTTGTCCCGCTGACAAACATGGCATGTCTCTACATACTTCTTTGCTTCATCCATCATCGTGGGCCACCAGAAATGCTCTACTAGATTTGCTGATGTTTTCTGGAAAGCTCGCTCACACTTATCGATCTCTGGAAAGCTTGCTCACACTTATCAGTCCACTCCCATGGGGTGTCAAAGCGCGTTAGAAGCTATAGTACTACAGTTTTCACAAACGGACGGTAGTAACCCGTCATCCCCAAGAACGACCTCACCTCAACCACAAACTGAGGTCTAGGCCAGTCACGTATGTTGGCCACCTTGGAATCGTCCGGCCTCAGTCCATCCACTGAAATTTCATGACCCTTGGTGCGACCAAATCCGCATTTCTCCAAGTTTACCTTGTACTGATTCTGCCTTAGGAGCCCTTGCACTGTCTTAAACCGCTAGTACATCGCCCCAGCCTTGCTGAAAAGAAACTCGTCGCCTACGAATTTCTTCCAAAAAAGATGGTGCAGGCGTGCCGTCGATAAAATCGGTGGCCTGTGTCGCCTACCGGATTCTGACGGGCGCCCATGTGGCCAATAGCTGGATGTACTCGTGTTTTAACGTGCTTAGCGTACTCCTCTACGGTCCTACTAAAGATAAGAATGTCGTCGAGGTACACAACGATACACTGATCTAAGTAGTCATGAAAAACCCTGTTCGTCATGTGCTGGAATGTCCCATGAGCATTGCAAAGTCTGAAAGGCATCACCACAAACTCGTACAGACCGTACCTAGTTTGGAAATGGGTTTTGTGTTGATCCTCGGACCTTATAGCAATCTGATGGTATGCGGACTTCAAGTCTATCTTAGTGAAGTATCGACATCCCTGCAACCTATCCAGGAGGTTGTCAATGCGGGGTAGTGGCTCTGCGTTCTTAACTGTGATGGCATTGAGGCCCCTATAATCAATGCACACCCTCAATATCCCCCCTTTCTTGGGAACAAATAGTATTGGCGCACCGTAGGGGGACGTACAAGGTCGGATCCAGCCCTTCTCTGTGAGTTCCTTGAGCTGTCAGCAAAGCTCATCTAACTCCGCATGAGACATCCTATACATCCGTCCTCTAGATACCTTGCTACCTGGAACGACTTCCATCGCATAGACAACCTCTCTTGACTACGCCCCTGGGCTCCTAAAAAAGGTCTGGATACTGAGCACCAATTGCTTCTATATCTGGGGGTATTTTTACGGCATCCCGTTTTTTAAAGACAAAGACTACATACATACCCTCCCCGCGATTCTGCTTGTACTAGTTATAGAAAGATGAGTCGCACATGCAGCCATAGGACTCAGCTAGCCTGCTAGCGTTGTACTTTTGCAGTCTAACGGTCCTCCCATTTGGCAACTTGTATATCAACACCTTCCTATCCCAGTCAAACTGAGGCTTAGCAACCTCGAGGTAGTACATGCCTAGTAACATATCGAAAGGTAGCTCGTCAATGACTAGGAACTAGATCTTGTGTCTCAGTTCCCCTCCTCCATAGGAGAAGATACAGACTACGTCCTTGACATAGTCCTTAACCACTATGGAGTGATTGTTGGCTAAGGTAAATGCTAGAGACCTGCTAAGCCATTGCACTTGGTCCCCTAAGCGAAACCTATCCACACAAGCACGACTGATGAAATTCCACGTAGAACCTATGTCTGCGAAGGCTCCAACTTTATGGTCACCTACATTGACTTGTACCATGAAATGTTCACCCTTTGGACCTTTTATCAACATCGCCTAAGAGTCTCTAGGGTCCTCTAACCACATAGTCTCTAACTCCTCTAAGGACTCAGATACATCCATCGAACAGAGTACCGATTGGTCCGGACTTGTCTGTGGGGCGATATGGGGGTGAATAGCTTCGACCAACATCTGAAGTGCAGAGGGTGAGGCCCCCACTTCAACATGGGTAGGAGCAGCTGTCGGAGGCTGATGAGGAGGCCTATGCAGATGACCCGCCTCTTGGTGACGACCAAGAACAGGACGCTGATACATCCTGTTCGTCTTCAGCCCGAGAGTCTGGCATTAATAACGAAGAACAAAAATTGAATGCCTTTAGAAAGTCTGCCAATGTGACGGGACCAAACCAAAACTCTGGGAAAAACTTTGCTCCACTCCCTAAGGAAGCCAAAACCCATCAAATCCGGAGGATGCTGCGACCAAACCTTGGTTGGAACTCCTGATCAGTGAAAATGAATGGAAGGCTAGGATTAAGAAAACTGTTTGCCTGCATTGCCAGAAACCGAACCATAAAGTTCAAGGTTGTTTTAGGCTATAGGGAAACTTAGAGTCGTTGTTTGTACACTATACAAGAAGGGAGACTGAACCAATAATTGAAGTTCCTGCATCATTTCAGCATCTTCACTTGAAGCCCCATCACCAACCGATTCCAATGCTGACACTTATAATGTCCTCTGTTGAGGCTTGGGAGGAGTGTGAGAAAATTAACCTCCACTACTACTTGGAGCATTGGGCTGAGATGAAACAATAACATGCTCAAGGGACAACGAAGTTGATATTCTTCAAGCTTCTCATTAACCGCCGCTACCTCTGTGTCTTGGTCGACTGTGGTGCTACTACCAACTTTATGTCTCCACACGGGATACGCGAGGTGGAGTTGGGAATGAAGCAAGTGGAGTTGCAGACCCCTTGCCGAATGCAAGTTGGCAACAAGGAAGTTGTCTCGTCTACGCATGTAGTCAAAGGTGTGCGCACTACCTTTAACAAGGAAAAAACCGCCAAGGACGGACTGAACTTCTATGTCCTTGACAAGTGTCCCTTCGACCCAGTTTTTGGATTGGGCTGGCTACAGTCCCAATGCAAAATAACTAAGTGGCAAGAATCACTCTTCGTGGTACATGATGCTATGGGGAACGAGCGCGGAGTATTATTGGATGAGAAGCGCGAATCCCCAATGACTTTTCTCAATGTCATGCGATCCTGCAAGAAGTGGCACAGACACAAGGAGGAGGAGCGGTTGTATGTTGCTTTTGTTCGTCCTACTCATGTGCCTTCTACTTTTGCGGCTAGTACTAGTTCTACTTTGCATGATGTGCCTAATTCTAATACTCCTACTTCTACATCTACTTCTAGTCCAAATGATTATACTTCGAAGTCGGTTGCCTTGACTGCTAATTTGCAGTCGGATTTACGTGACCCTTATTCTAATTCTCCACCCCCGAAAATCCCAACAAACATCCAAAGCCTGCTCAACCGATTTTTGGAAGTCCTTGCCGAACCACATGGAGTCCGTTTGGGCAAGCAGACGATCACGTTGATCGAAGGCGTTGTTCCTCCAAAGGGTTGTGTGCACAATATGGGACCCGACGAGTTGGAGAAACTTCGAAGCAAATCGATGAGATGATTGACAAGGGGTGGATTAAGCCTAACAAATCCGAATTTGGTGTTTGTTCCGAAGAAAGGAGGCAAACTCCGAATGTGTATTGATTACTGCGGTCTAAGCCGCATCACAAAAAATAACGCTTATTCATTGCCACGCATCAATAACTTGCTTCATGCTGCAGGTGGATGCAAGGTCTTTTCCAAGATCGACCTCAAGTCTAGATACCACCAGATTGAGGTTAACCCTGCAGACTAGCACAAGATTGCATTCAAGACTCACGATGGGCTATACGAATTCACCGGCCACCTTTCAAAGTCTCGTGGACAAACTACTCCGGGAACAAATCGGGTCTATTTGTTGTTGTTTATCTTGATGACATTTTGATCTTCAACAAATCGATGGAGGAGCACTTGAAACATCTTGAGGAGGTGTTCAACATTCTCAAGAAAACGCAGCTCCATCTCAACTTGGAGAAATCTTGGACACCGGTTGTCAGTTGTAGGCCTTTAGCCTGAGGCAACAAGGTTGAGGTCATACGCAATTAACCTCAACAGGCGTATATACGTGAACTACGTTCTTTTCTTGGACTTGCATCATACCATCGAAAGTTTGTGCCCAAATTTTCTATCAATGCTCGCCCATTGTCTAGACTAACAAGCAAGAATGTATCTTACACATAGAATGAAGCATGTGCGATTGCTTTCCAAACCTTGAAAGAGGCTTTGGTGAGTCGTCTTGTGCTTCGCATTGCAGATCCAAAACTCACATCCGTAGCCACTGCGGATGCGAGCCAATATGGGATTGGCGCAGTGCTGCAACAAGATGATGATGACGGCTTGCGTCCACGCAAATACTACAACAAATGCATGCCCAACGAGAAGGTAGCTACTTCCACGTACATGCGCGAGCTTTATGCTTCGCGTGTGACATTGGACAACTGGAAGCACTATCTTTTGGGACGCCACTTCAAATTCTTCTCAGATCACGAGACTTTGAAGTAGATCAAGGAACAAACTACCTTATCCACTACGTTAACCCGCTGGTTGCATGAGATTGACAAACAACCGAGTTAATGACGCATTGTCTCGCCACCCTGAGTACACGACTTGCCTTGTAAGCTAGTACGACCTCCGAAAGAAACTGAAGGAGGAACAAGTAGAGCAAACTGCCAAGGATCTGGACCTCGGTCCAATCCTTGAGCAGCTTCGGGCTGACCCCATCAGCCAGCCTGCTTTCCACGAGTGTGAGGGTCTGATTTTCCGACGCTACAGAAAGAACGACCGTTTGTGTGTACCCAACCATGAGCCTCTCCGCACTCACTTCTTGGACCTGGCTCATGGCCGGAGTGGACACTTCGGTTTGGCAAAGACGTACGGAAATCTGCCACAACAGTTTGATTGGCTTAGTATGAAAGGCTCTCCTGTGAAGTTTCTGGTCGAATGTCAAGTGTGTCAACGGATTAAACCATCGAGGCAAATAGCCCACGAGGCTGCTTAAACCTCTTTCCATTCCCGGCGGTCCCAGAGAGTCCATCTCAATTGACTTCACTGACATGGGTACGTTGAGTAAGAATGGATATTCGCAAGTGATAGTGATTGTGAACCGTTTTTCCAAGTTCTAAATCTGATTCCATTTCCACTGCATGCCCCAACTGACATTGTGATGAATTCCACAAGAAGTACATTTTGCGGCATGGGATATCGGGACCCCCGATTCATAAGTGCTGATTGGAAGGACTTCACTTCCCAACTTCACGATATCAAACTGAAGATGACATCTGATCGACACCCCGAAGATAACGGTTTGGCTGAGGAGATCAACCAGACTGTGCTACAGCTTCCCCGTGCCTTAATTATTCCGGATCAGGAAACATGGGATAAAGAGCTGTATACGGTCAAGGGGTTGTACAACAACTCCATTCGTTCTTCCGCCGGCATGACGCCAAACAGGCTGCATTACAGTTGGAAGATCTGTAATCCTCTCTCCTACTTATCCCCTGAACAACCGGTTGGTTTGGCGCGTGGCAGGCCTCGCCTGAGTGCCAAGTATGATCGCTTGCTCAAAGTTGCTGTTGCAGCAATGACCAAGCGACTGCATGCAATGATCCATCATGCTACCAAGACGCGCAGACCAGGGACTTTGGAGGTAGGAAGCTATGTCTGGGTCAAGATGTCTGAATTTTCGGAGGAGGAGGGGGTGCCACGCAGTGGGAGGTTCTGGATGTGGTTGGTAAGGATGAATTTGGCCCTTCATATGTGATTGCCGTGCCTCCTCATCTGCGCACGTACCCAGTCTTTCACGCGTCCAAACTGCTTTCATATCTCGATGCCAAATCCTTCAAATATCGTGAGAATATGATCCCTCGTCCAATCAATGGTGGTCACGAGATAGACAGAATTACAAGTCATACTGGTGAGGGACGTAGCGGACAGTAGCAGGTTCATTTCATGTATCACCTGTTGGGCGATCTCTACTGGATCTCAAAGAAAGAGCTGCTGCGGAGCGCACCTCACATTGTCAAAGCAGACGAACGACAGATAGCTTTCGCTGCTGTTCCAAAAATCTCTGCAAAACTCACTGCTACTGAGTATGCACGGAATCTCTTCGCTTTGTTCGCTTGTGATGTGCTTGTCAGGGACTCAGATAGAGTTACTCGCTCGAAGGGACCTCACTCTGGAGGGGGGGTTAGTGTAAGGACCTCCAAACACAAACTGAGATCACAGCTGATTTCTAAGTTCTGCTCGAATGGATGCCTTGCTGAGATTCCCACTTTCTGCTGAGTTTTCTAAGTCTGTGCGTGCGTTCTTGCTCCGCAAGGGTACTTGCTTGCTTGGGAGGCCCGAAGGGCCGGTACTTGCCTGTGGCAGTGACATTGAGGGTTGCAGCGGGGAAAATACTCAAGTAGCGTGAGGAGGCCTGTGACACTTAGAGCAGCAGGAAAAACACTCAAGTAGCAGGTAGGCCAGTATCACTCAAGTAGGGTAGTTTGTCAAGGACCGGAGGCCGAGCAGAAGATGACAAAAATGTTGGCATTTTTAGAGGCCCAGTAATTGTAGGCTAGGTCTAGGCAGGTACCAGTCCAAGTAGTCTGAGTCTAGGGCCTCTACAGGAGATATAAGAGTCTGCAATGATGTTTCCCTCCGAAAGGGAGGAGATGCCGGTTGCTTGGAGGCCGCGCGGCCTGGAAGTCACCAAGAGGCAAGTTGGCCACAATATCTCCAGGAGGAGCAAAGTGCTCCTCCTCATTTGCTGCGTGCAAGTTTGGACGTCGTGCTGCTGAAGCGCTGGAGGAGCAGCGGTAGTGTGCAGCGCTGTGTGGGAAAGAAGGGCACCCAGCTCCCCACCTTGGCTATGGTGGAGGAGCTCGGGTAGGAGGAGGAGGCGGAAGAAGGGACTAGGAGAGGGGAGCGCCAGGGGTACTTACCTGACTATGGTGGATGCCATCTTAATCACCTTGGTGAACGTTGCATCTGGAAGGCCCCCGCTGGGATAGAGCTGCACCAGGAAGCTTCGAGGCAGAGTCAGGCATGGCGACCTGAGAGGAAGAGGCCATAGCTGCTTTGTGTAGTCTTTGCATGTCAGGGCAAGGCCCTTAGCAGTCCGCCATAGCCTCGGCCTGGAGAAAGGAGGAAGAGGGAGGCCGCCATGGCTATGGTGGACTTCAAGTTGCGCTGGCAGTAGAAGAGGGATTCGGACATTGATTCAGGTTCTGCCATTCATCATTATTATTATTATTTATTGTTTGAATAAGAGGGGAGGAGAAAAGGAAGAAGAGTCTGGTTGGCGAGAAGACGAGGGATAGTCATTGGTCTTTGCAGGTGTACATCTTCTTTCTTCTTCTTCTTCTTCTTCTTCTTCTTCTTCTTCTTCTTTTTTTTTTTTTCCTTCTTCTTCTTCTTGCAATAACCCATGCCATATGTCGTCTGAGGGTCGAACGCGGCAATCCTCAGTCCAGGCCACATAAGGGGGCAAAGGCCCTAAGTCTGCTACAGGGCCTGTACGCCAGGCAGTTGACCATAGTCAACTGCCGGATTTCCAAAGGTCAAAATCAATGTGTACCCAGCCCAGGCCGCCGGTCAAGCACACACACTTGTTTGTATGCAGGTACCCGGACAGCATCCAAGCCAGGTGGAAAACTGCAACTGTACGCGATCCAGACCTTCGACGGCGGGTCAATCTGGACGACTGTGACTCGTGGACTGGAGGCCAGACCTCCGAGTCAAACACTACATAAGCTGGGTTGACTTTGACTTGACGCTGGCATTATGCTAGCGCGACGCTGGCTGGACGCTGGCTGTGCTTCAGAGCTGTGGACGGCGACACGAGGGAGAGGCGACACTGGCATTGTGCGCCAGGCATGCTGATGTGGCACTGCCCCTGGTTTATGTGGCGCTGCCTATGGCCTACATGGCATGCTGATGTGGCGCTGCCTCTGGTTTATGTGGCGCTGCCTATGGTCTACATGGCATGCTGATGTGGCGCTGCCTCTGGTTTATGTGGCCTGCCTATGGTCTACACGGCATGCTGATGTGGCGCTGCCTGTGGTCTACATGGCATGCTGATGTGGCGCTGCCTCTGGTATAAGTGGCGCTGCCTGTGGTCTACGTGGTATGATGATGTGGCGCTGCTCCTGACTACGTGGCGCTGTTCTTGGTCTTCATTGATGATGTGGCATATGCCACCTGTTTCGTCTGCTGATGTGGCATTGTCCACACTACTTACATGAGGTGATTGGTTGCGAGGGAGAGTAAGATCAGGACTGTGGAGAGATCGTGATACGTACCTGGTGGACTTCATGATGACATTGCTCCAGCTCTGATGAGGGACTAATTAGAAGGTGCCACGTGGCACATTGAAACTTCAGATACTCATTCAGACTGTTGATTACTAAAGTGGAGTTGGAGGAGGGAGCCCGAAGCAGGAGTGGGCATTGTATTTACTTCCTCTCCTTTGCCTATCCTCCCTCCTCTCTTCTTCGTCTGTGAATGATTATCTCGTCTTATTCTATCTGGACTTGCATTGTTGACAACTGTGTTCACGATCTGGGTTCATTACATTCTTCTTCTTCTTCTTCTTCTTCTTCTTCTTCTTCTCTCTCTCTCTCTCTCTCTCCTCTCAAGCTCATTCATTTCTTTTGCAATTGGATGGAACTGTGCTTTCTCGTGATTTTGCACTTCGAAATTGGCCAGCATCGTAACACAAATGGAATCAGCAGGATATTAATTGAACTAAACAAAATAGATAGTGAATACCTCCAATTTGTGGAGCATTTCTTTTAGCAGTTCTCTCCTCTTCCGCCTCGCATTATCTGCATTGTCCTCGCCTCCTTCTGCCGCCGCCGCAGCTGCCAGCTTGTCACTCTCTGCTACAAGCTCAGCATTGCATCCTTCACAATGGAACAGCTCATCTGCGAGGCTGATCAGCCTGAGCGCATCCAAAGCAGAGTATCTGCTTGCACACAACAACTGTTGGGACTCAGCAAGCTTTCCCTGTCATTACACATCTTGCAGGTGTGAGAGAAGAAAAACCAGCAAGGCGATGAAACGGATAGGAAGCAAACTTGAATGAGCTCTGGATCAGGGTGTGACTGCTGGTAGAGGCATGTTCACACAACTACCTCAGTTCAAATAGATTATGAGTCCAATTGTGGCTGCCTGACTTCGGATATGTCAGCGAGGGTATGTGTTCGAGTCTTCTGACTTCTTGCTGGCACAGGAAAGGCAAGAGGGAAGTGGAATCCTCAGAGCATTCCTAAAAAAACGAAGAAGGGGATGTTCGTAGCCCAGGACTACAGCTGCAAGTGGTCACAAACATACTCCCAGATTTTCTCAAAGCAGCATACATGACCACCCATGATATAGGGTCAGAAATACGCCTGGCCCCAACGGGTCCATAATCTCCATATCCTCATCTAGACATCTGGATCTGGAAAAGCATGACTGTGACCCAGACGTCCAGGCAAGCAAAACCAGGCAGGCATTTTTTATTCTTGGAGAAAGAGACCGAGAGTGGAGCATCTTCGGGGTCATATTGTGAAGTGGTTAAGGGGACCCGAAGGGTGTTACTTAGCCTTTTCTTTTTCGAACATAAAATTGAGCTTGATATCCTGCAAAAAAAGGAGAATGACGATATCCTTCTTTGTGAAGTATATAAACTTGTGCTTCAAAACGAGTATGTGGTTCAAATGTACCTGGTTGAGCTATTGTCATTCCTCTTTATATCTTTTTCCTCAAATACCTTCTTAGAAGTACACCAGTATTTTCTCCAGCAAAACCTTGCTGTACAATACCTTCTTAAAAGTACACCAGTATTTTTTCTCCAGCAAAACCTTGCTCTACAAGTATTCTAAACATTTCCAGTCCTGTAACAACAGTGAGTGTTTGATTAGCAGGGGAAACCAGGCTGACATAGGGATGGTGATTCAAGCACTTTTAGTGCCATTAGAGGGTAGCTACCTTCTGAAGACATTTGCAATGTGGCCCAGGTGAATACTAAGATGCCCCATAGCTTTTTCTTGGGCCGGGAGTAGAGGGGCAGTGGGGGGCCAGGGGAAGGCATCAAGGAAAACACAGGCAAAGTACAAGAGTGGTTTGGGTCCACAGTGACTGAGGTGGTAGAAACTAGCATGAGTAAAGGTAGTAGGAATTAGATTAGGGCAGTCATACTGCAAGTAAGGCTACTACATTGTTGTTGGATTGCTGATTGGAGGTGGAAGTCAGGCCTTCTCTATCAAGTGACTTCAGTGTTCTGTTTGCTCATAATTGGTATATTCCGCTCTGGTTTTCTGCTTTCAACTTGACTTAATCATGTTTCGAGTTCTATGAGATTTGGTGTTCTCATTGGGTGGTTCCTTGCGCTTCTACTCATTTCTCTCTGTGCTAGCTACACACCGGGAACTACTATATTTCATACATCAATTTGTGTCTCTTTATCTTCCATATTGAGCTGCCTATGAACACTCGACCAAATGTGATTACTTATCTTATGCTTTGTGCTTGCTTCCTCCACTGTATTAGTATGAGTGCTGAGATTGTGCATCATCACCTGAACCTACATGGCATCTGGAAAGGTAACGGACTATGTTTGGATACAGTTCCTGGCCAACCGTGAGCTAGGAAAAATTCTGCTCCTTTTTTTTTTTGTGGCCAGAGTTTCGCTTCAGATCAGGGAACATCGACAAATACAGAACTCCCTTTTGTTTCCAGTTTTCTTTCATCTGATGGAACAACTGTCTGTCACAGCCACTGGCTATGGCCTATTGGGGATAACTTGTGTGAGACACATGAAAGGAGGAGAGCAAACTGATTCTCACCTTCGCGCGCAAGATGGATTTGGGCACACATATTCCTGAAGCACATTTCGATCTTCTAGCTCATCCTTTATCTTCCGTTTTGCACGATGCAGCCTGTACCTGATGACGTCGTATATCTGCAAAATATCAAGAAGATAAATTCTCAACACCAATCCACAATTCCCTCTGAAGCAAGCCAGTACAGGTGCTGGTAAAAAGCAGAAGCTGATGGGCAACTCATTGAAACTCGAAAACATGAAGTTCAATCATAGGAGCAGCAGTGTGTGAGAAGCACTCTAGCAACGCATTTAAACCACCACTATTGCTAAGCCTGTTCTTCCCAATACTTTTTTTATAAGTAAAAACAGGCTCACATGGTCATGGCTCGATTTCCATCCTGGGAAGCGTCAATCTGCTTGAAGGTAAAATACAACATTTACACGCTCACACTACCTTCTGTTAGGCTGAAGGATCCCTCATCAGCAGTGATCACTCCATTTCCTGGAGGATGACTGTCAGCTTGCCTTTCCTTGCCAAATTCCTTTCAGACTCGGTTTCTGAGTCCGATGGATTGACTCGTGAATGAGAATGAGAGGGAGGCCATCTTAGCGCCCAAGTCTTGCATTCCGTTTTACCTACCCTTGGTCTCTGTAGTAATCTTCCTCCTGCGCGATGCACCGAGGCCTTGGATATTGAGAATCCACACTGTGGATACGTATGATAGCCTCTGATCTTTTCGGATTTTTCACATCCCCAAATTACAAACCGTCACGTGCGACGGCCTACTGAGCACCTCCAGCTCTTTTGGTCCTTCGGACCAAAATACCTTGCCGTGGCCAACATTACAAACCATAGAGTGCAACGGCCTACTGAGCACCGCCAGCTCTTTTGGTCCTTTATCACTGAAATACATTGCGGTGGCACATGAACTGGAGGAGGATTGTTTGTTCGTGCTTAAGAAGCAGGCAAGGCGAGGGCACTTAAGAAGGGTGTATGAGGAGCAACGGCTTTGAGAATGCTCAGGCACAGTGCAGTTAGGTCAAGGGGATTGCAGAGATAAGGACCAGTGAAAGATAGGCCAGTTAAAGAGTGAAAGATATGTTGGGTGAACAGTGCTTGAAAACAGTGATGCATGTGAATGCTTCATACTCAAACATGGGAGATGCTTGCTTCCCAAGAAGCAAGGTCAATAGTGTGCTCGCACACTGCTCGAGCACTGCATTAACAACACAGGAGAATCTCCCTGGGCTTAGCCACTGTACTTGTGAAAAGACATTTTGCAGAGAATGAGGACATGCAGGATTGTGCTTCACCTACAATGAATGTGGAACAGGTCAGCGCGAACGATTCAGAAGATGCACCAACCAATGCTGTGTTGGTAGTAGGGCAGCATAATGGCTTGTAGAATAGGTCATTAGGACCAGTGTGCTGACCCTCGGGCTAGAGAGAACGGGACCCTGGGAATGGCGCTTGATCAGTGTTTCAGTGCCTGAGCAGTACTGAGTCATAGCCCAGGACACTGCCACTAACTGCCCAGAAGGACAGCAGGTGAAATTAATAAATTACTAGATTTCTCCCAATTCCTCCCTGCACGTTCCTACTCCTCATGACATAATAATGCACTCGACCAGTGTGGCTGAATGGTTCATGTGGCCCTGACAGGAGGCTGGTGTGTTTGGGTTTGGCTAAGCAGTTCCCCCCCCGCCCCTCTCGCAAAAGCCACGAAAGCATTAAGCCTTAGCGTTTTGGTTTATCTTTCTGGGGTCGTGGGACATGGCCCGCCTTCGTCGTTTCATCTCATCCCCGCCTCTCGGCCGCAGCTTCGCCGTGGCGGGTCCGACTTGTTTTCTTAATGGAGTAGTGGGGCGGGTAGTGCACAGTGTTGTTGCATTGAGCATGATTCGAACTCATGACTCAATTATTATCTGTTCTAATCCGACGGCAATCTGATCCAGAGCTGGGGACGGAAGTCCCAGAAAGTAAAAAGGGAAGGGTGGGGGGGGTGGAGGGAGGATGTGAGAGGGCGGGAATGAAGATCTGAGAATAGTACAATGAGGATGAATCTTCCGCTAGGACATGGAATGATGCACCGCCAGTAGTGGAGCGAGGACCATGGTCAGTCATGAATAGATGCTGCTTTCCCGTGACGTCGAGCCTCGCTCCATTACTCGCCAAATGTGCACAACGGGAATGAATCTTCCGCTAGAAAATGGGAAGATACACCGCCATATTTTGTCATTTCTGCATCGGAAGAGTAGTGAGGCAAGGCCCTTCGCTAGTATGTACTTGTACTCTAACATCCAAGGATGGACGCCCCGGAAGCGGAAAATGACAAAACACTGCCAGCGCAGCCGCCCCCACAACCAAACGACATGCACACATCCGACGGCGGAACGGAGCCAAGGCAGGAAAAACAAAACATAGCGAAAAAAAAAAACATGGCGCAACCCAAGAGACTTCTAAAATACCAAAAGCACAGGAATGCTTGCCGCCCCCACGACCAAACGACATGCACGGATCCGACCCCGGAACGAAGCCAAGGGCAGGAAAAACAAAACACAGCGGAAAAAAAAAACACGGCGCGACCCGAGAGACTTCTAAAATACCGCAAACACAGGAACGCTTGCCGCTATTCAAACATGCGGCCGGCCAGAAACTTCCCAAACGCAGCACGTTCCAGATCTTTCCTGAACCCCATGCGCGAGAAGGGAAACAAAAAAAAAAAAACGAGCCACGACCAGCAGTTTCTGCCGGGCCTGCCCCTCCCTGTCCCGAGCGTTTTCCCAAGACTGAATTCGGGCCTCGCTGGGGCGTTACGCGAGACCCAGCTTACACTTTAGTCAGAGTATAGAAGAAAGGTCTGAAAGACTCTCAAAGGATCATCGACATAAAACATGACAGGGAATGTAATCTGTCATGAACATTTGCCTCGAACCCATTTTTTGGTCACCGATATGGTGTTTTTACAGATCTGCGAGTTTGGAGGAGGTTATGCTGCCGCATGCAGAGAAAAAGTGAGCCCCATCAGACCAGAAACTTCCTCTGTGTGCGTACTACAAAACCTGAACTATCCATCACCACTGCAGTACAGTATAGACAGCCGATCAACCTTGCAAGAACATGCAGTGTCCAATAGTCAATCTGTCATTGGATCGCCACCCCTGCATACCCAAATGCCCTGGCATCATCAATGGCTCCAAGTTTCAACCCAGGGACCCCAACAGTGGTGTTTTCATATTAACAAGCCTGCGGGACTACCATATGGACTGCAGGGTTTAGTATGGGCAGGTCTGGGACAAGGAATTGGTTCCACCGCAGGCCCATATTGATGCAGTCACCACTATATTCTCCTCTTCAAAATGACAAAATCAACATTTTCTAATTGTTACACCATCAGTGATATACTTTTGTTTTCCCATGCCTCGTTTAGCAGGCAGCGATCATTCTGTGTAGTTACCACAGGTCCATCGGTATGCTCACGCCTACCATCCTCTCTGCAACAGTGCTTGTTACACTGGTATCTGAGAGAGCGAAGGAAGAAACAAAAGAAAAAAAGAAATGGGTAAAACCTTTCAGTACAGCTTTCTAATATGGCACTTGTTGGTACAAAAATACCACTTTTGCAAGGCGGGCAAAAGAAAAGACACTAAAAATAGAAACATAGAGTAAAGAAAAAACTGGTGGCTTCCAATTGTAGCAGGTTGTCAATACTGTTGTTCCAATCATGGAATGAGTACTTCAAAAAGTTGAAAAAACAAATTTGGCAATGGTCAGAAAAAGGTGGATAGCAACACCTGCACTTTCCTGCGCATAGTCGAGACAGCAATATGAATGGGTGTGCATTCGTCCTTGGGCCGTTGGGAGGTCGCCTTCCTGTGGTGAGGGTGCAGAGGTGGCAGCCATCGCAGCCTGCAGCACTTTGGTACTTTTTACACTCTGCAGTTTACACATCAAGATTAATCAACCACACAGTGGGATTGCAAAGTGAACTGGCAGGAATTCAATTTGAGCATCGACAATAACAGACTGGATCTTGAATGGTTTCTTTTGATGCTTGGGATAAAATGATGCCAAATGCAACAACTGAGTGCAAATACGTGCAATGACACATCAGTGCAATGAACCGGCACATGAGAACACAAAAAAAATGAGAGGGAAAAAATGATAAGAAGTCATTTAAGATCAAGCACACACAGACCAGAGCAGAATTGACAAGGCGGAGAGCAGACCAACGCGTGCACACACGGAACACTGAAATGCAATGAACTTGCAGACTCTAGAGGTTGTAACAATAACTGGGTCATTTTTGCAATTCTTTTGAATTTTGGGCTAGGCTACCAGAGTGGCCCGGGACCAGTTGCCCGGCCGGGCCCAAAAAAAAAGAAAAAATGAGAAAAAAATCATTTCTTAAAAATTGGCAAAGAATTTCCATGTGACCCTGAGGCAAAAATTGTTCAGTTTATTTTTCTGCACAACTGCCACAACATAGTTTTTTTTCGGATTTTGTTTTTGCTGGGACCTTCCCTGGTCCTTGCACGGCCGGGCTACCCCGGGAAACAGGGTGAACCGGGCGGCCCAGCTGGTAGCCTAGGTCTTGGACTGAGACCTATTTTTTGTGAGACCTTCCTCTGGGGTTTGGGGACTGAGACCGTATTACTTGATGGGACCCGCCCATTTTGTTTTGTTGTGTCTTAGGTCCTAAGGTCCAGTAGGCTGTGAGGGAAGTCGTGAAATAGACTCTTGCAAGCGCTGTGCACGGCGAACCCACCTGTGCTGTTGGTGTTTGGGCACTGCCATTGGTTACTACATGGCAGCCATATCCATCTTCTTCGAGCTGAGAGGTTCATACCTCGTTCAGGGTGCTGGTGCTGGATTCCCTGCATCAGCACAGATTGGGCACCAGGTCTTCTGTGTTATGTCTGATTGGCACTGCAAGTAGGGAAGGGGCGCTGGTGGTCTGCAGCTTTCCGGCGATGGTCGCCATAGCCAGGAAGTTGTGGAGGTGATGATGGAGGAAGAAGAAGGCTCCTCTTAGTTCGATGCCGTTCCATTTGAGTTTGTTAGGGGCTGTTGAAACACGTTTGGGACTCTTTTTTTTTTTTTTACAGTTGGGATTCTTGGAATTTTGTACATCTATTGATTACAGGAGGAAGGGGAATACAAATTTGAAGTTTCACCTTCAATTCTATTTTTGTATATTGAGCTTCTGCTGTGCACTTCTCTCCGGTTTGGTGTGGATTTCCCTATTTTTTGTATATTGAGCTTCCACTGTGCACTTCTCTCCGGTTTGGTGTGGATTTCCCTCCTTCAAGTCTGCTTTGTGATGACCCAACCAAACACGGACTGAGACACAGCTGATTTCTGAGTTTTGCTCACGGACTGAATGCCTTGCTGAGTTTCCCACTTGCCACTAAGTTCCGCATGTCTGTCTGAGTGCTGGTTGGCTTGAGTGTGTTTGAGATTTTCCCCACAACGGCCCCAATTCCACCCAGGTGATAGATTCAGAATCAAAGCAGTCTTTGTCCTATTGCAGACAAYGAGAKCATTTGAGATGTCCAACATATTAAAGCGATTTTATAATTAGACAGTTTTTTGGTTGTCCTTGGGGTACCCCTTTCATTGTTCTTGCAGCTCCCCTTTTACTGTGCCTCTTACGCACAGGGCTGCCCACGTTGATTGTGGTTGAGCGGCAGCTGCCCACATCCCCATGTGCCTTCATGGCCCACTTGCACGTTATTTCAGGAGGCAGAGTAAAAGGGAAGGCATGCTCCTGTGCATCTCTTCAGAGATTCATACTCCTGTTCATTTCACTTCAGATCTTCAGCTTATACAGTCTTTGCGTCCATCCTTCATCTTCATACCGTCTATACTCTTAATGATGCTCATTCATATGTATTTGTTAGTAGTACAAGGGGAGGGGAGGGGAGGGGAGGGGAGGGGAGGGGAGAGGGTAAGAGGTAGAAGGCCGAGTTCTCTAGGAGTGTGGGGTGGGGGAGGTAGGGGCAATGGGAGGGCAGGATAGAGTATGACATGCAAAGAGCAGGGGAAAGGTGTATGACGGGTTTCACAGATTTCTAAATATTCACCGCTGAACTATGGCGAGTGGCCACCCCTACAGACCGGACAGGACCGGTTCGGGTGTGGGTTATGGAAGCACCGCATCCAATTTTCGCAGTCACAGTTGCTACATCGAATGGTGTGTGACCCACAAGGGTACTTGTCCGTTCGTTGGGCCCTCAGGGCCGGTACTGACCTGTGGCCGTGACATTGAGGGATTGCAGCAGGGGAAAACACGCAAGTAGCAGGTAGGCCGGTACCGCACCCTGAAGAGGAAGATGTGCGGGTACTGGAGGCCGAGCAGAAGAAGACAAAAGTGGCATTTTGAGAGGCCCAGTAGATGTAGGCTAGGTCTAGGTGGGTACCAGTCCAATCAGTCTGAGTCTAGGGCCTGTACGGGCAATATCAGAGTCTGCAATGATGATTCCGTCCGAAAGGGAGGAGGTACCGGTTGCTGGGAAGGCCGAGCGGCCTGAAAGTCACCGCCCAAGAGGCAAGCAGGCCGCTGTATCTCCAGGCCGGGTGAAGAGCCCAGCCTCATTGTCGGTGTGCAAGTTTGGCAACACACTGGTTGGAGCGCTGGCTGGAGCAGCGCTAGCTTGGAGCAGTGCTGCTGGGGAAGAAGCAAGGACACGGAGGAGGAAGAAGGACAGGAGGAAGGGGGAGCGGCAGAGGTACTTATGTAATGAGACCTGCAGATTCTCAGTGGACTGTACATTAGGCTGAGGGCGAAGCCTGGGGCTTGCCTCGGTCTGGTCGCGTCGTAGGTTAGATTCGTGATTTTGTGTTTTCTGTGTTTTGTTGTCTGTGCTGTTGCTGTGTTTTTTTCTTAACGCATTGAGGTGCGATGACGTGCTGATTTCTGTTGCCGTGACTAACGGCGAGGTTGTACCCTGTTGCGTGTGCCTGTTGT